CTGCTGGAAGTCCTACTGTTCGTAACGTTATTCTGGTTTACTTGTCTGGCTGTTATGATGAAATTGCAACTGTTTCAGTCATCCTATTACTTGATCAGAACTCTTTTCTGAAACTTCTATGCCATTAACTTCTAAAACTTCATCATTAATATCCAGTTATCCTGCGCCGTGAACTAGAAAGATCCCTGGGACTTACCAAAGCCATGTGGTGTCTCCCTTGGGCTTTCTGAAACCATTCTGGCTATCAAGTCTCGGAGAATGTTCAGTCCTGTGTTTGTAAAGATAAACTAACCCTATGATGTTTTTCTGGGAGGATATTCATGGCTGTAATAGAAGATGCAAGTCTGACAGCTTGGGACATACCAGTGACTGAGTGTTGAGGAAGCACAATGCATTGAGTAAACATTTTCCTTCTTCGTTAGCATATCTATACCTTAGGCACTATATTATCTGCCTCTTCCTCTTTTTGTATAAAGATCCTAAGCGTGGGTTGTCTGTTGTAACACCTTTGTGATAATTATTATTTATAAGTAGTAAGTCTCCCTGGAAGTCTGCATAGCCTAATAAATTGTCAACATTAGGTTTCTTATGAACATGTACTAATCTATAAAACTACTCAAAATGTCCAAGGTTTACTCTTTTCTAGCAAAAAACCAACGAAATTAATTGCCAGACCTGCTCTTCACCTCCAGGATGCCCTGGCAACCACTGTCCTGCTGAGTGCTGGGCTGCCTCTGTATGGAGTGCCAGTTGGGCGCATGTGCACACTGAGCTGCAGCCCAGGAATCCACAGCTCAGCAGATGCACCTATCAAGGTAGCTTGGATCTTGGTGCTCAGCTCTGCTGAGCTCCACAGGGCTTTCACAGGGCAGCAAGGAGTGATCTGGCAGTGCCACTGGTAGAGGCACAATTTCCCCCACCTCTCTGCGGGGCTCCAGTGCAGGAGGTTGAGGGGGCAGTTAGCCTGTCCACCTCCTTGCTTTCATCCACCTCCCCCATGACTAGGCTCCTGACCTGGGCCTGGGCTCCTGATCCGGGCCAACAGTGCCAACCTGAGAGACTGTAAGTGAAAATATTATTAAAGACATTTTACAGGGTGGTGGGGCAGACATTCTGGAGAAAAGGATCACCTGTATTCCTGTCATCCTAACATAATTTACCCACTTAATATAAGTTATCTTATGATAAAAGAAAGGGGGATGCCTGGCTGGATGCGTTGGTGAAACATGCAACTCTTGATCTTGGGGTTGTGAGTTCAAGCCCCATGTTTGGGGTAGAGTTTGCTTTTAAAAATTTACCTTATAGGTCTAATCCATGAGTGTATGTTGTCATGCAGTGGCAGTCTAATGTACAAATTACTTTATGTCCTATTCCCCATTAAAATAACCTTTTTTCTGTATATTTAAAAACTTTAGTAATAAAAGCTTGGAGGGATAGTAATTTGGGGGGGCTTAGTCTTTAAGTGTCTGCCTTCAGCTCGGGTCATGATGCCAGGGTCCTGGGATCAAGTCCCGCGTCCGGCTCCCTACTTGGCGGGGAGTCTGCTTCTGCCTCTCCCTCTCCCTGCTGTTCTGCCTGCTTGTGCTCAGGATCTCAATCTCTCTCTCTCCCTGGCAAATAAATAAATAAATAAATCTTTAAACAAAAGAAAAAGAAACTTTTGTATTATGTGCAGATATCAGTAGGTGGGTTTATGTGTATATTTTTCTCTTCCCTCTAATCCCCCCCATTACCACATTTTTGATAGATTAACAATCGATCACTCCTTGGTACCCGTTCATGGCTGTCTTTACCCAGTTGACTACGCTAAATATGTATGTGTACTGTGTGTGTATATATATGTATATGTACATGTATGTGTATTTTTTGGGTATGTATATATTTTAAACAACATCTCACTATCTTGAAATCTTCCATGTCCTTCGTATAAACATGTAGCACTGCTTGCTGATTCTTTCTGTGCCCCTGTTGGTTTCTGTGATACAATTTTTTCCCAACGACCGTTCCATTCAAGATTACTGACTGCCTAGCCCCTTTAATGTCAGAGATTTCTTTGACATCTTTCTCTTAGTGCCTTCTTACCTTTCTGCTTACCCAATATAAAGCCTGAGAGTGTGCTTTCACAAAGAAGCCTTAAATGATCTCAGCATACTTTATTACGTTTAGACCTTTTCACATCTAAAGCTTTTTATCACCCTCCTCCAATATCTGTACCCCATTTTCTTCTCTATTCACAATTCCCGTGCTTCATCTATACTTACTTTCTAAATATCATCTCTCCCACCTTCATTTCACTTAAATCCTTTATTTAAAAAATCCTCTCTCTCATCCCTTTCCTTTGGTGCCTTCCGCCAATCCCAAGGTTTCTATCTGTTGTCAGTCATTTTTCTCCCTTTCACCCCTAACCTCTGGTAATTCTGCTTTCGCTCCCTTCAACAAAAGCTCACACTCTGATAATGTGTCTGTAGTGTTCAGTTGGGTGCTTCTGAATAAGTATCTGCTTTTCAAAACAGTGAAATCTAAACTATTAGCATGGAAATAACCCTTGGGAAGATGAGGTCTCCACTTGAAAGCTTCAAATAGAGATTTTCCTGCTATTATTGAATGATGGAGTTTTATATAATAATATCTGAAATGGGGTGACTACTTGAACCATACAAAATGCCCACTATTGCAAAATGAGAATAGATCCTTGATTTTATACTTCTATTTTGATTGACCTGAGAAATAAAAGTTAGCACTTCAGAGAAGATAATTTTCATATGTTTTGGGTTATATTGAGCATTAATTCCTCAGGGTCATTATGGACTTAGAAATGTTTTGTTCTGCCTCCTAGTGTATGCCCAAGTGCTTTGTCATGATGGGAGAAATCTATAAGACCCCAATCCATTCTTCACTGCTGTTGATTGTTCGAACCGTTCCTCCTTGTATTGAATTAAAATCTACTGGCTAGAATTAAATTCATTGACTTAGCTTCTGTCCTCAGGCTACACTGAATTTGATCCCTTTCCTATATAACAGCCCTTTAGATAGCTAACGGTAATTATTCTGTCCTCTACAGCTCTTTCTCTCTCTCCATATTTGTTTCCCTTTGAGATAAACACTCTCAGCTCTTCTACCTGTTCTCACTGAGCACCAATTTCATCATCCTGATTGCTGTCTATAGATAGGACGCTTTGTTAATGTTCCTTCTGAAATGTTTTCAGTACTGAAAATAATAATCAGTGTGTAGCTGAATTGGGTCCAGCCTTGTACATCTGGACATTAATGCAGCCCGGAGTTGCTTTAAATTTCTTTTTAGTAGCCATTTGATAGTGGCTCATAATGAATTTTTTAAAAAATAAGCTCTGTACCCAACATGGGGCTTGAACATATGACCCCAAGATCAAGAGTCTCAGGCTCTAGCAACTGAGCCACCCAGGCGCCCCTCCTAATGGAATTTTTAACTAAAATCCCACGATTTTAATATAGAGATTGACCTTCACATGACTTCTTTCCAAACCAAGTTTCCATCTTCCTTTAGTTGTACAACAGATTTCTAAAGTCAGAATGTAATGTTTAATAACCCTGGGAAATGTCATCTCCGCCTATCAGCCAGCCTTAGTTTCTTTGAATTTTGATTTTTGTCATCGAGCTTACGCTGATTGAACAAGGGATCTTGAAGCTAGTGTCAAAATGTTTTCAGACATCTGGGAAACAATAATGAAGAATCATGGAGTCTGTCTTCCAAAAATTGTTGTATGCAGATAATATCTCAGCTCTTGCGGTATATATGAATTACTACCATTGTAAATTAACAAGGCCAATTGAAAGGCTAAAGTTTATTGCCAGCCTGCAGGACAGAAGCCTTGTGTTGAACATTACTCTGAGATTATGTTCTAAGACATATTGTGCCAACATAATGCCAGGGCTCCTTATTCTTCCCAAGAAATCAATTAATGCACATACGAAGTAGAGACAGAATTATTGGGACTTTTTTTTTTTTGGCCAAGCATATACTGAGCACAGTATTAGGAACAGTGTGAGATTCTGGAGAATCAGGTTTGCCTGAGGCAACTCTGATTTACGCCTGTTGTCCTAGTGTAATTATTAGTAGCATCATTTTTCACTTCCCAAAGTGTCTAGGTTTAGAGGATAAATTATCTGGCCACCCTTCTCATAATCCAGCTAGTTCCTTTTACTATTTTATCTGGGTTAAAGGTTACACAGCTGTAATTCAGCAGCTTTAATGAGGCTGCAGTAGTACTTCTCTTCCATTTGAGCAGATTGTTTCTTGACCATGGGAAGTTGATAGCAAAAGTAACTGCAGTTAGGGTCTACCCATACTTAGTATTTTTCCTGAGCTACTCTCTAGAGGACAGTAATATATACACCTGAAATGATATGATTCCAACAAAAAATGGACTACAAAGTCCTGCTTTCATATGCATGAAAATCAGAAACATTCGATGCTCTTAAAGGACATATTGGAACCAATACTATGAGTAAAACTCAAATACCTTTTTCAAAGCAGAAAAGTAAAGAAATACCAAAAATTAATTCATTAAGATTCTGAACATACTTTTTTTAAATTGTAAAAACTGAACTTTGATGCCCTGAATATATAATGATCCATTATAACAATTACGCATAGAGTTTGAGAATCTGCATATTTTATGCTTTTATGTTTTTCCTAATTAATAATTTTGCACGGTTAATAATTTTAATATATTCTGTATCACATAGTTTCCATGTTTATGTGAAATAAGCAATTAAAAATGAATAGTTCTATTCTACCTGCTAAAATATTACTTTCCTCTAAAAAATGAAAATGATAGGTTTTATTTTATAACTTGAATCTTGTGGTAATATAGAGCTCTAGTATTTAGAATTAGAGGGTTTCTTAGAGATTGTGTAATTAATTTTATGTCATCAGTAGGTAATTTGTTAGCTCCTAATATCAAAATTATATTGCCTATGTTTCACATTTTGGATTTCCTAATGTAATGTTCTCTTTTTAGAAAAGGTGGACAAGTCCTATTTTCAAGAGAAGATGAGTTTTAACAGTTTTGAAGGATCTAAAACTTGTGTACCTGCAGACATCGATAAGGATGAAGAATTTATAGAAGAGTTTAATAGATTAAAAACTTTTGCTAATTTTCCAAGTAGTAGTCCTGTTTCCGCATCAACACTAGCACGAGCTGGTTTTCTGTATACTGGTGAAGGAGACATCGTGCGGTGCTTTAGTTGTCATGCAGCAGTAGATAGATGGCAATATGGAGACTCAGCAGTTGGAAGACACAGGAAAGTATCCCCAAATTGCAGATTTATCAATGGCTTTTATTTTGAAAATACCGCTGCACAACCTACAAATCCGGGTATACCAAATGGTCAGTATAAAGTGGAAAGCTTCCTGGGAAACAGAAATCATTTTGTTTTAGACAGGCCATCTGAGACTCATGCAGACTATCTTTTGCGAACTGGGCAGGTCGTAGATGTATCAGACACCATATACCCGAGGAACCCCGCCATGTGTAGTGAAGAAGCTAGACTAAAGTCCTTTCAGAACTGGCCAGACTATGCCCACTTGACCCCAAGAGAGTTAGCTAGTGCTGGACTCTACTACACAGGTGTTGATGATCAAGTACAGTGCTTTTGTTGTGGTGGAAAACTGAAAAATTGGGAACCGTGTGATCGTGCATGGTCAGAACACAGGCGACACTTTCCCAACTGCTTCTTTGTTCTGGGCCGGAATGTTAACATGCGAAGTGAATCTGATGTTGTGAGTTCTGATAGGAATTTCCCAAATTCAACAAATGTTCCAAGAAATCCAGCCATGGCAGATTACGAAGCACGGATCATTACTTTTGGGACGTGGATATACTCAGTTAACAAGGAGCAGCTTGCAAGAGCTGGATTTTATGCTTTAGGTAAACTTCATTATAAAACCAGGCTAATAACTTACTTTCCAACTATTCTAGTGCTTTTAAAAAGTAGATTCCTTTAGCCTCTTGAACTGGTAAATATTTAGGTGTAGGCTGGCATGATTATATCAGTATTAATCAAACCCTTATGTTGAATCTGCGGTGTAACCACTACGTTTATGGGAGAATGACTACCATATTGTGACTTATGTTTACCTTTATGTGATTGTTTTTTGGAGAAGGATGGCATGCAAAAGATGATAGTTCTCCCTGAGAGAATGGGTCTGACCATAATATTAACTCTAATTTATTGAGCTCAGTCATGTATTACATGTATTACATGCATTCTTTCTACATCTCATAAAAAGAGTTAACATTAGAGAGTTTAGTTTGGCTGATATTAAAATTGATATCTGCCTTTTGTACAGAAACTGTATATTTGAAAGCTGACCTGTATGATGCCTTCTTGCTTCAAATAAGCACTTCTCAAAGGGACTGCTGTAAACGTGTCAGGAAGGGCCATTGGTGTGATGGCTTCCAGGAGTATTCAGAAAAATTACACCATTATATATCTGACCCATTATTTTAGGATTGAGTTGTACCAAAACACAAATTATTAGTTATTTCAGTATTTTATTTACATAGTCTCCTATGGCAATCTTGAAGGCTTGTTTAGTGTCATGTAGCTATAATAACCTTAGAGAAACTTACTTTGTATTTTTGTTAAGCTGAACTTTACTGTTAAAGTTCCACAGTTTGAAAAAAGTGTAGTATTGGTGGCCCTAAATGACATGTTAGAAAGAAGGTAACAGTCATAATTTTTTACATAAAAATTGGGCATGTAAAATACCTCAAATTAAATCAGTGAGTTTACTATGCATTTCCTCCTCAAACAATCATATCTTTTACTTAGATATGAATTTGAATGTCTTCCTTGAAGCTGTAAGATTTTCATGTAATTTAGAAATTATTAATTTCTTGGTGTGAAAGGGGATATTTTTTCATAAGCTTCCAGTTGCACAAATACATGTATTTTTACTTGTGTCTTCTCTTAGGGGAAGGTGATAAAGTAAAATGCTTTCACTGTGGAGGAGGGCTAACTGATTGGAAGCCCAGTGAAGACCCTTGGGAACAACATGCTAAGTGGTATCCAGGGTAAGGTATTTAAATGTTTATTCGGGAACAGGCAAGTTAGACACTTAGAATGGGAAAATCTTGAATAACTTTTCACCTCAACTATTTTTGCCTTCACCATGGCTTGCAATTCACACCAGGTTTATAAAAATGGGGTCACCTACTTTATAGAAAAAAAAAAACCCTAAGCCTTCTCTGGTGACCAAAGCATTTGTTGCTTATGTGTCGTATCTATGACATTCAGATGATTCTATTTCTAAACAGCAAATTAGGAATATATAGTTTTGTGGTTAGAAGTGGGTTCTTTTCACAGTGGGCACGAGAGAGCCCTTGTTGCCAAGGATTTTCCCTAAGAACCCATCACATCCCCTAGCAAATAGTGCTGTGTCTCACTGATTCTAAGACATACAGTTGTTGATATTTTCAGATTTTTGAAATGAGGACACATCTAGTGGTGGGTCATAATTTAATTGGCACTCTTGGTACATAAAATAATCATGCTTCTTATAATCAGTGGCATCTTAGAATGATAATGACATACTCTAAATGTCTCTTTGTCATCTTTAAAAATAAAGTATACATATATGTAGGTGGTATAGAATTTTTGGCCTGCAAAATAGTATAACTTAAACTTAAGAGTGATTGTTTGAAAATAAACCTTAATCTTAAAAAGCCTTAAAAGGAAAGGTTGAAAGCCCAAAGAATTCCTTCAAAATGTACAGTTGGTTAATACTTTAAATAAAATTTAAGATTAACTATTTGAAAAAAATGTTTGAATCTTAAGACAATAATGTAATAACTTGTTAAAAAGTTGAAAGTTCTCACGTTGGTATTTTTTGCCTCTCTAAGATTAGCAAAGTAGCATAACAAAGGGAACCTTTTTTTTTTAAACTTTAAAACGACAGTTGATAGGGAATTGGATAACATTTCATTTTGCAGCTTCTTAGAAATGCCAAAAAGCAAGTTCATGGAATTAAGACCATGGAGATTATATCTTTACTTATACTTTACTAATTTGTCAGCTACCAAAGTTTAACCTTCTTTTAACTGTTTAGGTGTAAATATCTGTTAGAAGAGAAGGGACAAGAATATGTAAGCAATATTCATTTAACCCATTCACTTGAGGACTCTATGGTAAGTCACATATTGTAGAATACATAATTTTAAATATTTAATTTCTTTTGCAATGATTTCTTGGTGTAAAATTCAGAGTATAGTATCTTAAATTAATAATGTATAGTGAGCCTTAAAGAGGAGATCTTGAAGAATGCTCGTTCTTGACCTGAAGCAGATTTGTGAAAAGGGAATCACCATGAGCTGACTCATTCAGTGATCACTGTAAACAAAAATTGGGCTTGAAGAACTAAAATACTTAATCCCTCAGCTTCTGAAATTACTTTTGTGTAATGTGTTTTATACTCATAAATAGTTGTAAACTTTTCATAGACAGTATTTTAAATCTCAGAAACGTATCTAAATTGACAGTGCAGCCTGGGGTGGCCAAGGTATTGGTACCACATGGGAAGGGCCATGGACTAGAATGGAAGGCCTGAGTTGCCATTATGGCTTTACCATGAACTCTCTAGCCTCGATGGAGTTGGCTTTATCTCCCTGAGCCTCAGCGTCTTGTCTGTGAAGTGAATGGATTGGGTTAGATGATCTGTTAACTTCCTTCTAGCTTCATCATATTATGCCTCTTGCGAACTCTCATATGTTAAAATGGAATAAAGCCAACTTAAAAATTCATGATTAGTGTAACTTTTCAAATTGAGGTAACTACCTTCTACCAAAAAGAATTCTAACTTATAATCCATATTTCTATTTTAGGTAAGAACTGCTGAAAAAACACCATCATTAACTAAAAGAATTGGTAAATATGTTTATTAAAATAAATACACCTTTATTTATTTTTTTAAGATTTTATTTATTTATTTGACAGACAGAGATCACAAGTAGGAAGAGAAGCAGGTGGGGGGTGGGGAAGCAGGCTCCCTGCTGAGCAGAGAGCCTGATGCGGGGCTCGATCCCAGGACCCAGAGATCATGACCTGAGTTGAAGGCAGAGGCTTAACCCACTGAGCCACCCAGGTGCCCCTAAAATAAATATACTTTTAATTTCATTGCCAATTTATTGCAGTTGTTATTTATAGGGTGGAGACATAAGGCTATTCTTTCAAGGTAATTAAGGTATCTTTATTTAAGGTGAGATTGCTATAAATCTAAGAATTAATGAAGTGCCTATAAATTTAAGCCAGATATTTACATATTAATAACTTTCATGTGACAGAGGTAACACTGTACATTGATTGTACTGGAAAAATTTTTAATGACACTAAATCATACTAAATTATAAGTTATATAGTTACATATATAAAATTATATTAATTATACTTAAAAATAATAAATAAGATTTTAAGAAACAACATTCCTATGGAGGTTGGGCAGTTAGCTTTTCTAAGTTCAGGAGCAGCAGCTGTCCATTTGGATCCAAATGGCTGTCCATTGCCATTTCTGTTAAAATCAAAAAAGGAAGAGGTAAGTGTATTTTTGTCCCAGGTGCTTCTTCAGTTAGCCGGCATCATGAATCCAGTGATCTACTAATGTGCCATCACCATGATCAGCTCCACCTGCTTCCTTATCCCATGCCATCTTTGTGCCTCCCTCAGTTTCTTCGCAGAGGGGCTTGGTTCAGTTTATCTCCTGTTACATTATAGAGAGGTAGAGGTTTTTATCCTGAAGATTATTTACTCATCATAAACATGTTTAAAAACCAGAAAGATACTATGTTAAGCAGAGATGATACCATTATCAGATGAAGAAACGCAGTCAATGAGGTTAAGTGACCTGCCCACAGTTACATTACGAATCATTAATAGAACTAGGACTGTAAACAGGGTCTTCCAAAACGTACATCACATTGTTGATCTTGTTCTCAACTTAGGCATCATGTTTCAAAAATAGTAAAAAAGTTTAATTTAGAATATGTCTGCTAATTCCCCACTCCTTACAGCATCATCTAAGGGTTACAAGAGAAAACTATATATAAGCATAAATACGCTTAAGAAGGAGAACCACTTTGATAATGTTTGATATAGGTTTTGTAATGGGCATAAGTAATAAAGTTTAAGAAATCACTTATTCCAGCCTATATTTTTGAAATTATCCACAAATGAAGATTCTATAACATTTCTTGAGGCGCCTGGGTGGCTCGGTCGTTAAGCATCTGCCTTTGGCTTGGGTCATAATTCTTGGAGTCCAGCCCCACATTGAGCTCCCTGTTTGGCAGGAAGCCTGCTTCTTCCTCTCCCACTCCTCCTACTTATGTTCCCTTTCTCACTGTGTCTCTCTCTGTCAAATAAATAAATCTTTAAAAAAAAAGATTCTGTAACATTTCTTGATAGTAAACACCCTAACAATGTATACTTTTTTTTAAAGATTTTATTTATTTGGGAGAGAGAGAGCATGAGAGGGGAGAGATCAGAGGGAGAAGCAGACTCTCTGCTGAGCAGGGAGCCCGATGTGGGACTCGATCCTGGGACTCTAGGATCATAATCTGAGCCGAAGGCAGTTGCTTAACCAACTGAGCCACGCAGGTGCCCTATACTGTACTTTTTAGGACTACTGAGACTCTTGCTCTAGTTCAGGATTAATGTTTTAAAATTGACATGTAATTTATATAGCAAAAATTTCACCCTTGCAAACTGTACACTTTGGTGTTTTTTAATATATTCACAGGGTCGTGGAACCATCACTGATACTTAATTGTGGAACATTATCATAATCCCTAAAAGAAACTGTGTACCCATTAGCAATCAGTCACCATTGCTGCCCCTTCACCCTCAAGTCTAGCCAGACAACTACCAATCTACTTCTATCTCTCTGGATTTACCTATCCTCGACATTTCATATAAATGGAATAATAATATGTGGCTTTGAAGTTCATCCATGTTGTGGTACTCATATGAATCCTTCCTTCTTTTTTATGGGGGAAAATTTTTCCATTGTATGGGTAATACCACATTCTTTTTATCCATTCATCAGTTGATAGACATTTGGGTTTCCACTTTTTGGCTCTTATGAATGATGCTGATGCTGCTATGAACATTCGTGTGCAAATTTTTGTGTGGACAAAGGTTTTTAATTCTCTTGAGTATATATTTCAGCATGGAATTGTTGAATTAAATGTAGTAACTCTACATTTAACCTTTTGATAAATGGCCAGTTTTCCAACATGGATGCACCATTTTACGTTCTCACTAGCAGTGTAGAAGGGTTCCAGTTTGTTTCTCCACATTTTTGTTAACACTTGTTATTGTATGTCTTTTTATTATGTCCATCTTAGTGGATGTGAAGTGGTATCTTATTGTGATTTTGATTTGCATTTCCCTGATAGCTAATGATGTTAAGCATCCTTTCGTGTGCTTATTGGCCATTTGTATGTCTTCTTTGGAGAAGTGTCCATCGCCTTTGCGTGTTTTTCAGTTGGGTTATTTATGTTTTTGTTACTGGCTTATAAGAGTTCTTTGTATATTCTAGTTTTTTACATGTAAGTCCCTGTCAGATATATGATTGGCAAATATTTTCATTTTCTTGCTGGTGTACTTTGAAGTATATAAATTTTTAATTTCGATGAAAACAATTTATCTTACTTTTTTGTTGCTTATGCTTTTAGTATTATATCTAAGAAACCATTGCCTAATCCAAGGTCATCTATGTTTTCTTCTAAGAGTTTTATGGTTTTATCTCTTACATTCAGGTCTTTGATCCATTTTGAGTTAGTTTTTATATATGTGTAAGGTGGGGGCCCTTTTAATTATTTTTCATGTGGATATCCTGTTGTCCCTGCTTTTGTTTTTTAGCAGGATAACCTTGAGATACCTACAGGATATCTAAGTAGGTGGGTCTTAAAATCTGGAACTCACATAAATAAGAGTAAAATTGTGGTATTGGGGGGACTATTCAGAGAGATTGTTAAAAAGGGGGAATCAGTGAGGGAATAGAAGGGAACCACCAGTGTCTAATCAGGTGAGCAGAAGGAGCCAGCAAAACAAGCTGGAAAAAAAATCAGTAGAACCAGGAAAGAGTGATGTCCAGCTGACCTCTGGACATATCCACCTAGAAATCTCAAAAAGCAGCTCAAATTCAGCATTTCTAAAAAATCACTCAGACTGAATCCAGTCCTGTTCTTTTCCCCCCAAACTGGTTAATAGTTCCTCAGTTCACAAAGTCGCCCAGTAATTTGAGTCATTTTAAGCTCTTTGCTTTCCTTAATCCCTCTACATTTAATTAGCCACCAGGTCTGATGAATTCAACCTTTTTAATATTGTCAAAAATCCACTGGTTCTGCCCTAGTTTCTGCCCTGATTTCTCATTCAGTTGCTTTAGTAGTCTCATAAATGGTCTTCTATCTGCATTATAACTTCCCAACATATCAAAGATCTTAAGTTACTTTCTTTCTTCTCTTATTACTTACCATGTAATATTTCTTACAATCAAATCCCTTTCCAACTTCTCTTTTTAAAAAACATTTATTGAAGTATAATACACATACAATAAAATGCTTAAAATAGACTAATCTTAAGTATTTAAGTCAGTGAACTTTAACATGCATTTATCTGTGTAGTCATTAGTCAAATCAAAATATAGAACTGGGGGCACCTGAGTGATTCAGTTAGTTAAGCATCTGCCTTTGGCTCAGGTCATGATCTCAGGATCCTGGGATCAAGCCCTACATAGGGCTTCCTGCTCAGTGGGGAGTCTGCTTCTCCCTCCTCCCCACCCCCCACTGCCCACTACTGCTTGCATGCTCTCTCTCAAATAAATAAATAAAAATCTTTAAAAAAAAAAAAAGGTAATAGAACATTCCCACCATGCCAGAAACTCCTTCAGGCCCCTTTCCCAATCAACATCTACCCCAAGTTATGTTCTGACTTCTATGTTTTTAAAATTTTATTTATTTATTTGACAGAGACACAGTGAGAGAGGGGACACAAGCAGAGGGTGGTGGGAGAGGGAGAAGCAGGCTTCTGGCTGAGCAAGGAGCCCGATTCAGGGCTTGATCCCTGGGATCATGAGCAGAGCCACCCAGAAGCCCCACCATAGATTAGTCTTGAACATCCAGCTTTTGTCTCTGGTTCATCATTATGATGACGTTTTGTTCATCAGATCTGTGAGATTCATTATGTTGTCTGTGGCAGAAGTTTCATTTTTCTTGTTGCTGTGTAGTGTTCAAATATACCACAGTTTACTTACCCATTCACCTGATGATAGATGTTCAAGTTGTTTTCAGTTTGAGGCTCTTACAAATGACACTGCTATGAATATTCTTGTGTATATCTTTGGTGGATCTTTTTTTTTTTTGGTGGACCTTTGTACTTATTTTTAGTACTCAAGTAGAACTGATGAATCAGAGGGTGTAAGTCTCCTCTTTCAGCAGTTCCATTCATAACCTGTATTTCTACTTCGAGTACCATTACAGTGAATTTCTATTCATTTTGTTTCCTTATCTAGTTCACCCCCCTCGGCTGCAGAAACTAAGTCTCAGAGATAGGAAACTCACAACATTCAAGGTCACAGACTGCAAATTCCCCCCATTTCCCATGATTTTTCCAAAATAATTGCTAGTGACTTGGGAAAGACATCTACTCTTAAGTATCTAGGTTAGCTGTTAATGAGTACAGCTGATTTGAAAAAAATCTTATTTTTGAAGCACTTAACTTTATCCTCTCAGTTTTACCTAATCTTGCACTATTTCTTTAGTCTTTAAAGCATCTAATCTCAATTCATAGTGCTATAAAATAATACTGTATTTTCAATGATTATAAGATTCTGATTCTTCAGTGCTTAAGTATTTTAAAATCTTCCGAGAGTAACTTTGATTTTTTTTTATTTTCTTGCTGCATACCTTTTTCTTCTTAACTGTACTTTGCTGTTGAGTTGTGTTAATGAAAATAATTGTTTAAACTCTGTTCTTTTTCCTCACCAATTTTTATTTCAGATGATGCCATCTTCCAAAATCCTATGTTACAAGAGGCTCTACGAATGGGATTCAATTACAAGGACATTAAGAAAATAATGGAGGAAAAAATTCAGACATCTGGGAGCAACTATACATCACTTGAGATTCTGGTTTCAGATTTAGTGAGTGCTCAGAAAGACAATACACAAGATGAATCAAGCCAGACTTCATTGCAAAAAGGTATGCATGGCTGTGTTTATTTTTAAAAAGCAAGAAACACTTAATAATACTTCATTATGGATAGTATCTTATATGACTGTGGCCCATTCATTTTTTTCCTTCTCACATCCCCCCTGGGATAAACATTTTTTTTTAAATGTTCTGTTATGGGCACCTGGGTGGCTCAATTGGTTGGGCTTCTGCCTCCAGCCCAGGTCATGATCCCAGAATCCTGGTATCAAGCCCCCATGGGGCCCTCTGCTCGGTGGGGAACCTGCTTCTCCTCCCCCTCTGTCTCCAGCTCTGCCTACTTGTGCTCACTCTATCAAATAAATAAATAAAATCTCTTTTAAAAAACGTTCTTCTAATAAAAAATTCAAAAAAAAGTGGAGAAAACAGTACAGTGAACCCTCATGTACCCATAAACCAGATACAGTAATTATCAATTTTCCAATCTTGTTTCATTTTTTTCCCCCAACATTTTTTGCTGTGGTATTTCAAAGAAGATTCCAGGTATCCCATATATCATTTACCTATAAATACTTTAATATATACCTAAGAGATAAAGATTTTTTTTAACTTAATGCTGTCATGTTAAGCAGTAACTTAAACTGGGCTCAGAGTGCTCTAACAGAATACCATAGACTTAAAACAGCAGATACTTATTTCTTACATTTCTGGGGGCCAGGAAGTCCAGGATCAAGGTGCTGGCATATTTGGTTCCTGATGAGGACACTCTTCCAGGCTTGCAGATGGCTGCTTTCTCTCTGTAAAGGCAGAGCTCTCTGGTCTCTTTTCCTCTTATAAATACACTGATTCCATGGGACATCCAGCTGGCTTAGTAGAGCATGCAACTCTTGATCGTGGGATTGTGAGTGAGCTCCACATTATGTGTAGAGATTACTTAAAAATAAAGTCTTTAAAATAAATGAAAATAAAAATACATACATATGTATATACATACATACATAATAAAGTGAAAGAAAGAAATAAAAAGAAAAAAAAGAAATAAAAGAAAAAAAATACATACATATGTATATACATACATACATAATAAAGTGAAAGAAAGAAAAAAAAAGAAAAAAAGAAATAAAAGAAAAAAAAGAAAAAAAAAAAAAACTATTCCATAATGAGCAGGTCCCACCCTTATGACCTCATCTGGAATTTAATTACCTGCCTCCCAGAGGGCCCATCTGTGAGTCCCATCACATTGGGTGTTTAGGGCTTCAACATAGGAATTTTTGAGTGGATACATTTATTCCATAACATACTGTTTCCACACGTAACAAAATTATCAGTAATTCCATAATATCATTTGAATATCGGTTAGTTTTAATTTTTTCCATTGTCTTGAAACAGTCGTAACAGTTGATTTGTCCTAATTGGTATTCAGGTAAGATCCACTAGTTTAGTAATTTTATTTTATTTTTGTAATGATTTACCTATTTATTTTAGAGATAGTGCTGGGGGAGGGGATAGAGTGAGAGGGAAAAAGAGAATCTCAAGCAGATTCCCTACTGAGCATGGAACCTTTGCAGAGCTCGAGCCCATGACCCTGAGATCATGACCTGAGCTGAAATCAAGGGTTGGATACTGGGGTTCCTAGGTAGCTCAGTTGGTTAAGCATCCAACTCTTTGTTTCAACTCAGGTCATGATCTCATGGGTTGTGGGATCAGGCTCCGTGCTGGGTGGGGAGTCCACTTGAGGATTCTCTCCCTCTGCCTTTCCCCCTTCTGTCTCTCTCTAGAATAAATAAATCTTTAAAAAAAAAAAAGAAAAAAAGAGTTGGACACTTAACTGACTGAGCCACCCAGGCATGCCTGATTTATTTGATTATTTAGGTGTGGGTTTAGATAAAGAACAATGAAGGCTTTGATGATTATGTGTGGAATCTGTAAGTTTTGTAATTGAAATGGATTTAGAGTGTTCTGCAACTTTTCATGCGATGTAAACCTGTAAACACACCATATTGCTAAATAGAGCTTGAATGAGTGGCACCCTGGTACTGTAAATCATATATGGAAAGTGTATTAAATTTTTTTTTAAGTAGACTCCACGCCCAACCCAGGCCTTGGACTCACAACCCTGAGATCAAGAGTCAAATGGTCTGTTGACTGAGCCAGCCAGGTGCCCCTAAAAATTGCATTAAATAATGTGCAAGGGAAGCATATAAACTCCTTTTAGGAACAAACAGTGTAAGGGCCTATTCAGCTAGAGCAGCCCCAATCCGGTTGAACTGCCATTTTGTTGTTTATGCAGTAAAAGGTAAAAAATGCAAGTTCCTGGGGCGCCTGGGTGGCTCAGTGGGTTAAAGCCTCTGCCTTCGGCTCAGGTCATGATCCCAGGGTCCTGGGTTGGAGACCCACATCGGGCTCTCTGCTTAGCAGGGAGCCTGCTTCCCCCTCTCTCTCTGCCTGTCTCTCTGCCTACTTGTGATCTCTGTCTGACAAATAAATAAAATCTTTTAAAAAAATGTAACTTCCTTCTTTAAGGATGAAAGCAACTTGGGGTACCTGGGTGGCTCAGTGGGTTAAGCCTCTGCCTTCGGCTCAGGTCATGATCTTAGGGTCCTGGGATTGAGCCCCGCATCAGACTCTCTGCCCAGCAGGGAGCCTGCATCCCCACCCACCCACCCCCGCCTTCCTCTCTGCCTACTTGTGATTTCTGTCAAATAAATAAATAAAATCTTTTTTTAAAAAAAGGATGAAAGCAACTCTTTGATGTTTGCTTGGCAAACTATGAGTACATTTCAAACTATGAGTAATTTTGGGTACTGAGGTACGTTGTTATAGTCATTATTCCCTGAGCTCTTGACCACCTCTCGCAGAGGTTGAAAATTCTCCCAGTGCTAATAAATCTAAAAGTTTACTTTTTTTTTTTTTTTTTTTTTACATTAAAGACCCTTTTGGAGCTCCTGGCTGGCCCAGTCAGAAGAGCTGGTGACTCTTAATCTCGGGGTTATGAGTTCAAGCTCCACATTGAGTGTAGGGCTTACTTAAAAAAAAAAAATTAAAATATGAATACACCCTTTTGATCTTTAAGTTATTTCCAGTGCTTCTAAAACATTATTCAGATAATTAATTGGTCACAAAACAGTATAACAGTGATTTTTTAGTTACATCAGTTGATATAAAACATTCAACAGAAAGCATACTGTTCTTTTCCTAAATAGGCATTTATTTAAAACCTGTAATGGGGCACCTGGCTGGCTCAATTGGTTAAGTAACTGCCTTTGGCTCAGGTCATGATCCTGGAGTCCAGGGATCAAGTACTGCATTGGGCTCCTTGCTTGGCGGGGAGTCTGCTTCTCCCACTGACCTTCTCTCCTCTCATGTTCTCTCTCTCACTCTCTCTCAAATAAATAAATAAAGCCTTTAAAAAAAAAACTGGTAATAGCTTCACTTGTCCTGGCAGTGGTAAAATGAACCACTGACTTGGTCTTCTTTCTACTACAATAGAAATACAAGGGACCATATCATTTTTCTCTGCATCTAAACCACAACTCAAGTTTGACAATAAGGTGTTTTTATACCTGAAGGTATTGTCAGCAACAGGATGATTTAGTGGGTTGCAATAGGAAGAGAACAAGGTACAGTACTTTAGGGAGTATCTGTTTTCTATCCAACAGGAGTCGATGGGCATTCTTGTTACCAGAGAGACTACAAACTAGGATGGTGTGGGAAGGAAGGCCTGAGCAAATGGCAGCTTTCAGAAGCAGGAGTTGGAATTCATCAGTTGTCTCCTTGGTCTCATTAAATTGAGAGGGAGGTTAACTGATACAGGCTATCTTCTCACACTAGGGCTACTGCCTATTCCTCTTACCAAGGGCTGATGAGTAAAGACTGGCACTAAGACTCTTCTTAATTCTATCCAGAAGAGAAGATGGGCCTAACTGAGGTAAAGCGGGTGGAAGTTACTAGAAAAACTACGCTGTTACTGTTGCTTACTGAGAAATCCTAGATTCAGTACTAGCTTTATCCCAATGGCTATGTGACAGAGAATAGCTCGGTAAATGGTCTTCTAAAAATAGTATCAGATAGTATATTTATTTCTTTTTAAAGGTTACATAGTGTGCTGGGGCACCTGGGTAGCCCAGTCGGTTAAGCATCCTACTCTTGATTTCAGCTCAGGGTCGATCAATCTCAGGGTTGTGGGATTGAGCCCCTCATTGGGTTCTGTGCTCAGTGGCCAGTCTGCTTGTGATCCTCTCTCCCTCTCCCTTCCCTCCCACTCACGTGGTCACTCTCAAATAAATAATTTTTTTAAAAGTTGGGGATACCTAGGCGGCTCTGGTGGTTAAGCGTTGGCCTTCAGCTCAGGTGATGATCTCCAGGTCATGGAATCTAGTCCCACATTGGGCTCCTAGCTTAGCAGGGGAGTTTGCCTCTCCCCCCCCTCCCAACTCTTGCTTTCTCTCTGTCTCTCAAATTAATAAATAAAATCTTTAAAAAAAGATGGGGTGCCTGGGTGGCACAGTTGGTTAAGCATCTGACTCTTGATTTCGGCTCAGGTCATGGCTCGGGGTCGTGGGATTGATTGAGCCCAGCATCAGGATCTGTGCGCAGTGCGGAGTCTTCTTGTCCCTCTCCCTCTTTTCCTCCACCTGCTTATGTACTCTCTATCTCTTTCTCAAATAAATAAATTAATTAAATACTAAAGAAAGGAAAGAAAGTGTAAGGGGAAAGGTACCATAGTAAAGGATGTAGAATCCAATAGTTACCTGAAGATTTGAGTGAAATAAAATTGTCAGAGGTAAACAGTGTCAGGGGGTGAAATCTATGGCCAGAACCTCACCATGTCAAGTAAGTTGCTGTACATAAGGCTGAAATAAGGTAGGAAAAATCAATAACAGTGTTTGGTAGGCCTGGCATTTCATTCCACTGTGCTCTATGAAACAGAATCACAAATCATCAGAACCAAAATGAACCTGAAAGATCATATAAAAACTTTCATTACCTCAGGGGCGCCTGGGTGGTTCAGTGGGTTAAAGCCTCTGTCTTCAGCTCAGGTCATGATCTCAGGTCCTGGGATCGAGCCCTGCATCGGGCTCTCTGCTTAGCAGGGAGCCTGCTTCCTCCTCTCTCTGCCTACCTCTCTGCCTGCCTCTGATCTCTCTCTCTCTGTCAAATAAATAAATAAAATCTTTAAAGAAAAAACTTCCATTACTTCAGTAAGAAAATTAAAGTATAGATGTGCTGTTGGCAAAGATCACTCAGCTGGTTGAGAATAAAAATCAGTTTTCCTGACTGGTGGTCCAGTGTTCCTCTTAAAAAAAATGTTTAAAGTGTACAGTTCAGTAGTGTTAAGTACATTCACAGTTGTGCAGCCAGTCTCCACAACTCTTTTTATCTAAACAACTGAAACTGTCCCCGTTAAACAACATATCCTTATTCCCCCTCCCCCAGCCTAATAATCACCATTCTGCTTTCTGTCTCCATTAAACTTGACTCTTCTAGGTCCAGTGTTCATTTTTACTCATTGGAGCATCACATCTAAAAGTCATGTGTAAATTTCTTTTTTTTTAAAGATCATATTTATTTATTTGACAGATCACAAGTAGGCAGAGAGGCAGGCAGTGATAGAGGGAGAAGCAGGCTCCCTGCTGAGCAGAGAGAGTCTGATGTGGGGCTCCATCCCAGGACGCTAAGAGGCTTAATCCACTGAGCCACCCAGGTGCCCCCATGTGTAAATTTCTTAATTATTTTCCTCCTTATGGGGCATCATGAGTATGTACTTGATTCTAACTTTCTTGGTTAAATGCTTTCATATGAGACAAATCAGTGTAGAGTGCCATCTCTTTACTTCCATTATTACTTGCACCCCAGCTGCCTTTTCCCTGTCTGTGTACCTAGTCTTATTCCCCACTCCACCCCCAGTCCCCTAAATCCATCTTGTGAACTCATCCTTCAAGGTTCCACTTAGAGGTCATTCTTTGAAGCTTTCCCTCGTACCCACATTAGAGTCCGGAGCTCCCTCTTCTCTATGAGTGCTGCTATGAGAGCATTCCTAACATTGTTTTAGAACAGTTTTCCTTTTCTGTCCAGCACCTCAGACGGAGCTTCCTGAGGACAGGTGCTTTATCTTATCTCCGGAGCAGTCCATGTTTGAGCTTACAGGAGCTTACAGTTTTGATTATGCCCATGAGGTTGCTTTTTAAGAAGAAAGAGATTAAATAATACTTCCTCTCCACCCTGGTCAGGCATACCTTTCCAAAGCACAAATCTCCTATCTCTCTCCAGGTTAATACCCTTTACTGTCCCCCAGGGCCCTTAGGATCAAGTCCAAATTCCTTTAGGTGGGTTGCCAAGTCTTCCATGGTGGGGCACCTGCTGATCTTCTGTAGCCTCAAGTCATGCTGTGTCTCTCCCCAAAGCTTATCCGTATACTTGTAGTACTCGGAGCCTGCCTATACCGTTTCCTCTGCCCAGAACACTCTTCTCCCACTGCCTCTGTCCCCCAGGGTCCCCCCTCCATCTTTCCTAGTTAACTCCTCCTCCTCCTCCTCTAGGACCCAGTTTAACTATAATTTCTTCCAAGAGGCCTTCTGTTTATGTGTACGTGCACATTTACACCTTTCCTGTGTTCTTTATAACATATTGCAATTACCCTTATCATTACATTCTATTATAATTTCCTGTCTACTTGTGTTTCTCACTTGTTTATGAACGATTAGGGGCCTAGGGCCTTTGTATTTGCTAGTTGTTGTATCTCGAGTTCCTAGAACCTAGTTAAGTGTTCAGTAAATATTTGTTGAACAAAACTGAACCACTGTTTCCCAAACTTGTTTTCAGTGTTCTGAGGCACCTGGGTGGCTCAGTGGGTTAAGCCTCTGCCTTTGGCTCAGGTCATGATCTCAGGGTGTACCATCAAGCGACATCGCATTGGGCTCTCTGCTCAGCGGGGAGCCTGCTTCCCTCTCGCTCTCTGTCTGCCCGCCTCTCTGCTTGCTTGTGATCTCTGTCAAATAAATAAATAAATAAATAAATAAATAAATAAAAATCTTTAAAAAAAAAAAAAACAGTGTTCCCCAGGGTGTTAAAGGGGATGCCATGAAAAGGGAGCAAAAAAAAAAAAGGAACTCTGTAGTTAAATGTGACTTTCTAGGAGGGGATATGCGCTGTACTGTAATGACCTATACTTCATAGCACTGGTTCCCAAGCCAGTGTGTGTAATCCCAGAAATTGTTGTGTTGTTGTTGTATAAAACCATATCTTCTTTATTTTGCATATTTTAATTTTGGAACAACAATAAAAAACCCCATAAATTTTAGATTTAGGGAATGGGGCATAGCAATCGATCATTTTTAAAAATGCCCAAGTGCGCCCAAGTTGCTCAGTTAAGCATCCAACTCTTGGTTTTGACTCAGGTCATGATCTCATGGGTCCTGTGATGGAGCCCCAGAGTGGCTCCCCACTCAGTGGGGAGTCTGAAGATTGTCTCCTGCTGCCCCTCCCCCACTCTGGGAAGTAGATAAATAAATCTTTTTTTAAAATGCCCCAAGTGATTCTCACGTGAGGCCACATTTGGAAACCACTGGTCTACAAAGATTGTTAAAATATGTAATGCCTTTAGATTAGTGCCTGGCACGTAATAATAAGGGCTATATTACTGTTAACTGCTGCCATTATTGCTGTTGTTGTCATTATAGTTTTCTTTTTTTTAAAGTAGACTCCATGTGCAGCATGGAGCCCAGCACAGGGCTTGAATTCACAACCATGAGATCGAGATCTGAGCTGAGATCAAGAGTGGGGCACTTAACTAGTTGAGCCACACAAGTACCCCTGTCATTAATGTTTTGTTTGACCATGAAACACATTTTTGTGATATATTTGTTAATACCTCAAAACCTAGTTTGGGAAAGGCTGAATTAAACAAGTACTTTAGTGCCACCTATATGCTGATGTTACCCAAATCTCTTTTTCTAGCCCTAACTTCTCCTGATCTCAAGACGTGACTGTCCAATGACATTTATATACAGATGCCCTGCAGACACCTCAAAAACAACTTGAAAAATGCCAAACCAATATTTCCTTTTGGCATCACCATCCCTTTGTAGGCACACTAGAAATCTTAAAATCAACTCTGGTTCCTCTTTTTCCTTATCCCTCACATGTAATCAGTCACCAAATCCTAGTAGTCCCACTTCAGAAGTGTCCCTCAGATCCATCCCTCCATTTCTGGAGTAAGTCATGCCCTTTCCATATGTCACTTCATTTTACCTAACCCTGGCTTCTCTGCCTGGCAAGTTGCTGGCCATGTTTAAATATCACTCCACCTCTTCCCCCGTCCCCCACACCCTGCAGCTGCCAACCTGAGAAGCTTTTCCCACCTCATCTGAACAGAAGAACTGGTTCTCTCATCTCATCCCCGAGCACTTTGTACATAACTTTATGATAGCACTTACCACTTTGTACTTTGTGCTTCCCTCCATAGCCTCAGCTCACGTCCTTCTCTAGCCCGCGAGCTGCTCGAGAGCAGGCGTCGTGTGTGAGTCATCCTGTCTCCCAGCCCTTGCCTAGCACCTGGCACATAGTAGGGGTTCACATTGTTTCAGTACATTTCAACAACTAAGAAAGTAAAGAATTAACACATTTCTTTTCTCTTTGTGCAGAGATTAGTGCTGAAGAGCAGCTAAGGCTCCTGCAAGAGGAAAAGCTTTGCAAAATCTGTATGGATAGAAATATTGCTGTGGTTTTCATTCCTTGTGGACATCTGGTCACTTGTAAACAATGTGCTGAAGCAGTTGACAAATGTCCCATGTGCTACACAGTCATTACTTTCAAGCAAAAAATTTTTATGTCTTAAAAAATTTTATGTCTTAATCTAACTCTACAGTTAGGCGCATTATGTTCTTGTCATTACCCTGATTGAGTGTGTGATGTGAACTGACTTTAAGTAATCAGCATTGAATGCCATTAGCATTTGCTACCAAGTAGACAAAATGTAAACTACAATGTTCTAGTTCATAATCTAAAATTTGAATTTCTGGATTTTGGGGGATATTAGATATGTTGTATGTCTTTTTTTTTACTCTTATTTAATTGAAATCTAGACTAAGAAGCGTCATACTGTAACTGATCACAATGTGTATTTGTAGTACACTAACTTAGTTTCTAAGTGTAAGTGAATTAATCAGCTGAATTTTTCATTCTTTTCATAGAGGCTTAACAAATGGAGCATTCTTTGTAAACGTGGAGATTAGAGTTAATCTCCCCAATCACATAATTTGTTTTGTGTGAAAAGGAATGAACTGTTCCACACTGGTGGAAAGATAGAGAATATTTTTAGATGTTTGTCTTTGTGTTTTAGTATTTTGTCCATTCTGTTTTAAAATTAGACACACGTGCTTGGATGGGTGATTGTAAAAAATTATTTTGCCATTGTTAAAAGGGTATTTAAGGATAGAATACCATCTAGCCAACATGTACTGACATGGAGAGATGTCAAAGATATATTAAGTGTAGGCTGAAGTGGCAAAACACAGTGTATAGAATGAGTCAGATGAAGGTGTGTGTGTTTTGTATATGTATAGAACAAAAGATTTGGATCGATAAAGCACCAAACTGTTAAGTGTGGTTTCTCTTGGTGGGGGGGAGGGTAGGGCCCGGGGCGGGGGGGGGGGGGGTTTGCAGGGGCTTTTCACTTTCTACTTTTTTCATTTTGTTCTGTTTGGATTTTTGTAAGTATGTATTAATTTTGTAATCAGAATTTTTAGAAAGTATTTCACTGATTTAAAGGCTTAGGCATGTTCAAACGCCTGCAAAACTACTTATTGCTCAGCTTTAGTTTTTCTAATCCAAGAAGGCAGAGCAGTTAACCTTTTTGGTGCCAATGTGAAATTTAAATGTTTTTTTGTTTTTCCTGCTTTTGTGGATGAAAAATATTTCTGAGTGGTAGTTTTCTGACAGGTAGACCATGTCTTCTCTTGTTTCAAAATAAATATTCCTGATTTTGTAAAATGAAATATAAAATATGTCTCAGATCTTCCAATTAATTAGTAAGGATTCATCCTTAATCCTTGCTAGTTTAAGCCTGCCTAAGTCACTTTACTAAAAGATCTTTGTTAACCCAGTATTTTAAACATCTGTCAGCTTATGTAGGAAAAAGTAGAAGCATGTTTGTACACTGCTTGTAGTTATAGTGACAGCTTTCCATGTTGAGATTCTCATATCATCTTGTATCTTAAAGTTTCATGTGCATTTTTACTGTTTGGATAATTAAGATGTATATAGGACAAAATGTCAAGTCTTTACCTAAATTGTTTTGTTTCCTTGACTAGTAATAGTAGTAGGTACTTCTGAAATAAATGTTCTCTCAAGATCCTTAAAATCTCTTGGAAATTCCAAAATATTGACAAGAAAATGAGAATACTTGTTTAAATATTAAAAAGAAAATAAAACTTGAATAAGAGTCAATAGAGATTAAAAAATAGAAGTTTAAAAGTGCTTCATACAACACCCAGGGTTTGCTTAAAAGATTCTTAAACCAACCTGTCAATAGAGGTGAGTGAGGCATTTTACTGCAGAGAAACATTTGAGAGTGAAACTTAAAAATCCTATTTTCATTGCATTTTCTATGAGAAAGAATATTGTCATGTTCTCCTCACCTCTGTGGATGACTGTTTTAAGTGACAGTCATTTAAAGCATTGTGAATTTAAATGAGAACTTTTCAAATTAAATAATGACCGCCCTGGTTGGGAGGATGTCTTGTTTTATGGTGTAAACTCTCAGTTCTTTACCTTTGCACTTCCACTTAGGTTTAGTTAAATGTTCATTAAGTTAACTTTTACTTATATTGTCTATGCTTTGAATTTAAATTACAAGGGGAGAAATGTGTTAATGGTTCTTAAATGTGTTTTCCAGAACATGTCTTCTCCAAGTCAGGTAGTTAATTCAAACTAGTTGTTGGCCAAGGACTGAATTATTTTAACATAAGGCTTTTCCTGTTCTGAGAGCCTCAGTTCATTAAAACTCTTTTTTTAAAACTTGAATGTTTAGAGTTAAGAAAGACCTTTTTTCTCCCCATGAGTTGTGAAATGTAATGCATGAAGCTGATGTGGATAACAAGTTTATTTTAAGAATTGTTTAGAAATGCTGTTGCTTCAGGTTCTGAAATCACTCAGCACTCCAACTTCTAATCACATATTTTTTTTAAGACTTACCAGTGTTTGTCTGTGTTCTCACTATAAAAAGCACTGGATCCTTTCCATCTAGTTGTGCAAAAAATGATTACTTGCAAGGTCAAAATATAACCAGATCCAAATCTGCGCCTCCCCCTTTCCCAAAATAGTTTTTCGTATCTACATGTAGACATTCCTTTTCTGTTAGAAAGTTCACTTTAAAGATTTCTAAGTCACCACCTATTTTACTACATTTTAGTCATGTGAAGAGTCAGGTTGTTTGGTAATAAGTAGTTCTCTTTATTCATAATAATTTGGTGTGCTGATCAAAAGCCTTGTTTTAATTTTTGAAAAATGGGTTTCATGTTTATAAAGTAAACTCCAGTTTATTAATTAATGGCTTTGTATTGCCTTTCCTGCTAGTTTTGGGTTTCTTGGGGTTTTTCTTTTCCCCCTTTGGTTAAGGGCTAAGATGGGGTAGGGTGTGTGTGATGGGTGTATATAATGGGATTTGGCCCTGCCTAACTATGATATTTTGTTTTTGTGGTTACATTATTTAAATTTTGGTAGGCTTTTTTTTTTCCTGTTTTCATTTGAGTGGATAAAACTGGTATTTTGAACTCTCTGAATGGAGACTTCCACCGCAGCATTAGGTGCGTGTATTGTACTCTTTAGGCCCAAATCATTGTTTTATTTCCTGATTCCCCAGGGGTTGAGTATGAGGGGAAAGGGTGGAGGAGTGGGACAAATGGGGTAGGTTTTTCGCTTCCATTAGAGAAATTTAGAAAACAGGAGGGGATTGTTGACAGATGTAGTTATTTTTAGCCAAGTCTGCTTTTAAAAAGAGAGAGCTATTTCTTTATCTCTGAAATAAGAATAATAACTGTCTTATAAAACCAGGAGACTTCAGGAAGACCCTGGATGTCAGATACTTGCTACAAATGTTCATTCCCTTCCCAGCACACTCTCTAACCCTTCAGGGGTTTGCCTTGACTCTGGAAATTTGGGCTAAGACTTAGATGATAACTCGTTTGGTGACTCTTACTCATCTTTTTTTGGCAGCTCTCATAGTTAAGATGTAAATTATAATAAATAGGTCAGGTCCTTAAAAATATTTAAGTTCCTCTTTTAAAAATCTTAACTATTTTTATCGAATTCAGTGAGTTTTCCTAATAGAAACAATTGGCTTATTTCTACTTTCATCATCAGTGTCAATTTGACTCTTAACTCACGTAACACAATGTGAATTTCATTAGTGGCATACTAGAATCCTAGAGTGTCAGAGCTAGAAGTGACCTTAGAGGAGTATCTGATTCTTCCCCCTCATTTTACAGGTGAGACAACTGAGGCTCAAAGGTGAATGATTTATTCAAAACTATCTAGCTAATTAGTGGCAGCTCAGACTGACGCATGGTTTGAAGGTGAAAAACTTCAAGTTACCTCTCCTGGGAGGTCTCAAATGTTTATTTTTCAACTATTCTTTCTTTTATAACATAACTTTCACTACATATTAAATGACACTTTATGACTAATACAGTAGGACAATCTTAAATACATATATCTTCAAATTGTACAATACTACGTTAATGTTTTGGGTGGTAAGATTCTATTTTGAAGACTGAAGTTTGCAGATATGCATAGAGATTTTTTTTTGGCATTTCCTACGTTCTTATTGTGTATCATTAATGCAACATTTAAAATTACTATATAAGTATATTTTGTCATTTTCCCTATATTTACTAACAAATACGCGTTTTTCAATTTGATGTAATAAAGGCTTTAATGTACTTTTGGTTAGAAGATTTTGCATTTTTTTTCATTACTGTTAATATTTAATCTGACAGAATGACGGATTCTTATGTCATTGTATTAGTGCTGTGAATAATCGTGAAATGTTTTCAGATAGAGTGCTATATTTGTGAATATAATTTTATGACTTTTTTCATTTAGTAGAAACCTTTCCATCAATATGGAAAACAAAGAAAATAGCTTTCCACTGTATAATCTGGCAGTCATCATAGATTAAAGCTTATTTTTCTGTGAATAAAACTTATTCAATAAAGTACTATTCTTTAAAATGATATCTTATTCCTTTGTATTTATTTTACTTCCTTAGAAAAAATAAAATAGCCCTCTTAAAATTACTAAAATGATGCCTAAATATATTTTCTGCTATTGGGCCTGGCACTAAGGTACACAAGTCATGTCCTGTTAAAAGAAAAAAGACATCTGTTTTCATACTAATTTATAAAAATCTGTAAGTACATGAAAAGCCTGTTTTTAAAATGTATAAAAATACAAACTATTTTACCCTCTCCCCACAAAGATTGGCCTATTTCTCCCAAGAGATAATATTAGTCACCATAACAAATCATGAGCAAGAAATTTAAATGCAGCCTACCTTTCTTCATGTCAACTATACTTTCAATGAATATTGATAAAGATGGAAATTTTCAAACTTTTTCTTGAAATTCAAGCCCCAGAGAGGGCACCAAAAAATTTTTTTAAAAAAGCTTTCTCTTAACAGAAATTTTCAAACTTACACAAAAGTAGAAAGGAAATTATAGCTAACTCCATGGTATTCCTCATTCAGCTTCAATAAATAACATTTTGGGGGCACCTGGGTGGCTCAGTCGGTTAAGCGTCTGTCTCGAGCCCCACAAGAGCCTGCTTTTCCCTCTCCATTGGCCCGCCACTCCCCCTGCTTGTGCTCACTCTCTTTCTCTGTCATATAAATAAAAACTATTCAATAAATAAATAACATTTTGCTCATCTTGTTTCATCTGGGATTTCCCCGCTTTCCTCCCCTTTTTTGCTTGCATATTCTAGAACAAATCCTAGGCATCATGTCATTTCTTCTGTAGTTACCTTATTATGTACCTATACCAGATTAGAATTTTTTTAACAAAAATTAAAATTTTTGGGGCGCCTGGGTGGCTCAGTGGGTTAAAGCCTCTGCCTTCAGCTCAGGTCATGATCCCAGAGTCGTGGGATCGAGCCCCGCATAGGGCTCTCTGCTCAGCAGGGAGCCTGCTTCCTCCTCTCTCCCTCTCTGCCTGCCTCTCTGCCTACTTGTGGTCTCTGCCTGTTAGATAAATAAAAAAATCTTAAAAAAAAAAAAAAAGATTGTCTCTCCCTCTCCTTCTGCCCCTCCCACTTGTGCTCTCAGTCTCTCTTTCTCTCTCAAATAAATGAATAAATTTAAAAAAAAAAATTAAAATTTTTAACACTCTACTGTTGCTGAATTTTAATGGACATCTAAATAAGAATTAAAGTCAACTTTATTGCCCTTTCCCCTATTTGAAGATTAGGGTAAATAAACCCCCTCAGAACTGATATTTAAGGGGTGCCTGGGTGGCTTAGTTGTTAAGTGTCTGCCTTGGGCTCTGGTCATGATCCCAGGGTCCTGCTGAGGAGGAAGCCTGCTTCTCCCTCTCC